TTTTCTAGCCACTGCTGAAACTAATACTGACTGATAACTGACAGTAGGATTGTTACTGACTAGTTCCCAAAAAGTTTTGTTCACGAAAAATATGATCAATTCAAAGGAATATCCATTATCCAACCTCTTTTCCAGTATTAAAATATACCCTCTCGTTCTCTCCGTTTAATCTTTTGTTTTTTTTTTTTTTTTCAAAAGAAAATTGAAGCAGAGAAGCTGAGATGGTGGCTGTCATTGTGTTTTTTTGGATAAGTGGTGGCTGTCATTGGTTGTCTAGTTGTTTTGTGATGAAATGTCTTTTTCATCGCTATCAAGTTCACTACCTCCTGTAACGACCGTTTAAGTACCTTATCAAGACGTTGAATTCATTTGAATTTTCATGAATGCCAAAACCCAAGTTTTTAATTCCTGTTGCATATGTTGGGAATATTGACTCAAATCTCATAAGAGATTTGTTTGAGATTTGTCAGATATTGCTTGATGGACAAGAAGACTTGTAAAAGAAGAATTTCAAGAGAAAGAGGATTCTTAATAAGTAAATTTGACTTGCAAGAGAAGAATTCTAAAAGGAAAAGGATTCTTAATAGGTAAGTTTGACTTACATGAGAAGAATTCTAAGAGGAGAGGGATTCTTAATGGGCAAGTTTATATGGTTATAAATAGGTAAAGTCTCTACAAGGTTTGATATGAAAAAAAGATGTAAGAGAGTTGTAAGATTTTATGAGATAACACCCCTAAGAGTATTGGGGCTCTACATAGGTATGATGTATGAGAGTATATGGGTATGTGTTTGGTTATGTTGAAAGAGTGCATAAGGGTTTGGGTTTGTGTTTGTTTGAGTTGAAAATACTCTTTAGGATTAGAGGAGATTGAGAGTGTCTTATGAGTATTGATTGTTGAGTGAGGTTGATGATTTGATGTATGTTTGTAATCCTCTACAACTAGTGGATCTTGTTTCTCATCCGTGGATGTAGGTAAGTTGGACCGAACTACGTTAAATTGTTGTCTTTTATGTGTTTGATTTATTGTTTAATTTCGCTTCCGCTAGTGTGATTGGATTGGAGGCTTTTAGCCCAACAAATGGTATCAGAGCTGAAGGTTCGAAACGTGAGAAGAATTGAAGATTCAAGATGTGAAAAGAGCCGAAGGTTTGAGACGTGGAAAAACTAAAGGTTTAAGATGTGGGAAGAGCTTGATTTAAGACATAGGAAGAAATAAGCTTCGAGGAGCTCGATTCAAGAGAAGAGTTCGAGTTTTGAAGATTGAGGATTGATTTGAATGAAGCGTGAAGACACAAGAGAAGAGAAGATGATTGTAAGACTTCCATTGCAGGTGGAGCCAAGCATGTCTAGCATGAAGACAGATGATTAATGAAATTTGAGTCAAGGTGGAGATTGTTGGGAATATTGACTCAAATCCCATAAGAGATTTGTTTGAGATTTGTTTGAGATTTGTCAGATATTGCTTGATGGACAAGAAGACTTGTAAAAGAAGAATTCCAAGAGAAAGAGGATTCTTAATAGGTAAGTTTGACTTGCAAGAGAAGAATTCTAAAAGGAAAAGGATTCTTAATAGGTAAGTTTGACTTACATGAAAAGAATTCTAAGAGGAGAGAGATTCTTAATGGGCAAGTTTGTATGGTTATAAATAGGTAAAGTCTCTACAAGGTTTGGTATGAGAAAAAGATGTAAGAGAGTTGTAGGATTTTATGAGATAGACACCCCATAAAAGTATTGGGATTCTACGTCTTATGGGTGTGTATGTTTATTTGTGAGTGGATTAGAGGAGACTGAGAGGGTTCACATAGGTATGATGTATGAGAGTATATGGGTATGTGTTTGGTTATGTTGAAAGAGTGCATAAGGGTTTGGGTTTGTGTTTGTTTGGGTTGAAAATACTCTTTAAGATTAAAGAAGATTGAGAGTGTCTTATGAGTATTGATTGTTGAGTGAAGTTGATGATTTGATGTATGTTTGTAATTCTCTACAACTAGTGGATCTTGTTTCTCATCCGTGAATGTAAGTCAGTTGGACCGAACTACGTTAAATTATTATCTTTTATGTGTTTGATTTATTATTTAATTTCGCTTCCGTTGATGTGATTGAATTGGAGACTTTTAGCCCAACAGCATATGTTAACTCTAAGAAAGTACAACATAAAGATTATGACAGAAAATTTAATGTTCAAAGAACAGCGTGGATGAGAGGAAATATAAAGTATACCACCATTTGGATTGAACTAAGATAATATTCTTTGGTGATTCATTATTCAGTTTTGGCATTCAGAAACTAAATGGGGATAGATGAATATTGGGTAATTTACCAACACTTGAAACAGGGAACTATCAATTAGTAATATATATATATATATATTTCACGAAAAGAAGAATGAAGACAACTGAGTTTGACTTATGAATTAAGCACTAACTTGGTTTGACTTTTGAGGGAAAAGAAATAATTACCAAATATCATATATGTTCACATGCATGCATATGCAAGAGTGGATGTTTGTATCTCTGTATTCATGTCTCTTACTCTCTTGTACCTTTAATGAGCACCATACGTCAGTCAATGAAAAAATAGCAAGCTTCGCCTCCAATTGTACCAGAAAGTTGAATATATCAGCATATATTTTCAATGCACCAGGAGTCAATATTGCTGTCAGGCCACCAATCCACTCCGTAGCCCTGACCTAAAATGTCGAAGGAATGGAACACCAGCCATTATTAACAGCCATCAGAATTAGGATAGTAAATAAACCAAATGAATTCTTCTAAGGTGGAGGTTGAAAGGGCGGAAAAGGAAAGAAATAGGATCTGACAATGCCAATCTTTGAGAAATAAAGGAGAAGACTTGCAATATAGATAAAATTGTACCACTTGTAGATGTCGAAAGAGGCATGATGCCATAGACAAATAACTTATCTTTATGATGGTCTTTTTCACTAGATGACCTCTGGATTCTGGACTGACAACAACACAACAAGTCCTTGAATTTCAGAGAGTCTTCAATCCACCTCTGTTGCACACCATTTCTGATGATTCCATGTTAAACTACATGATTGTAACAAATAAATTTTCGTATCTTTTTTGCTGAAAAATAATATATTATTCAAATAGATCATTTAAGTGAATATTAGACTGACAGACATACATGACGCGAAAGGGACATAATAAACAAAAAACCAATAAGCCCAGATGCCAACAAGTAAAACCAAACAGAATGAACCAAGGAATATTGCCCTCCACCAAGAAACCATGTCTACAAAAATTAAAATTCATCCAAATTTTCAGAGATAAGGAATTAAAATGATCTAACTTTGCACCATGCATCCAATAAGCCCAGATGGCTTGAGATTCAAAACAAACTCTAAGAACATGTAAAATATTTTCCACATTTGCACCACACCTTGGTGAATTTGAGATCCGTCGCTTAACACAAGCCTTCTTCATTAACAATCTGTATGCAACACTAACCAGAGAAAATGTCGGATTCTAGGAGGTAATTCAAGCTTCCAAAGCCCTTTCCAGCGGAACTTTGACCGCAAGTCACCCTTAATGAGAGAATAAGCCGATTTAACAGAAAATTGCCCACTCGGAGAGGCTGTCCAAATTGTCTTATCTACCTCTTAAAGCAATAAAGAGATCAATGAAATTTAATTAACAATCTCCCTCTGCAGGAAGTTTAATCTAGACCAGTCCCAATTACCCTTATCTTCCAAATAGTCACTAACTCTATCATCCCTCCTCTCCAGAGGTATAGAATCCACAATTTCCTCTGCTAGAGTTTTATCATCAATTTATCTGTCATATCCGAAGGAGGTACTCTTTCCATTACAAATCAAGCGAAAACAACCCTTGTTCACCAGCTCTCTATTGGAACAAATACTGCGCCATGTAAAAGAAGCTGCAACTTTTATTATTTTTTGTAGAAAAGATTTTCCCTTCAAATATTTGGACCACAACACTCGAGTCCAAAGACTAGAATCACTCTCTTGCATTTTCCATCCAAGCTTAGCTAATAAGGCATTATTCATATCAGTCGTTTTCCTAGTTCTTAATCCTCCCATATCTTTTGGCTGACAAACTGTCTTCCACATCAATAGGTGAACTTTTTTCTATCCTCGATAGAGCCCCATAAAAAATTCCTTTTAAGAGCATCAATATCATTTGCCATTTAAATTGGCAATCTAACTGTCTGCACAGTATAACTGGCTATTGTGCTAGTTACCGATTGCAACAACTTGCTAATGAAAGATGATTTCCCTTCCATAAAAACAACCTCCTTCTAAATTTCACCAACAAAATTGATAGATATTCTTAACCACCTATGAGAATGAATTGGAACTCCTAAATAAGAACCGAAATCAGAACAGTGTTGCATCCAAGAAGTCAACCGAACGTTCTCCACCAACTCCGGTGAGCAAGCTTTTTCACTTTGTATATGGCTCATAACTTGTTACTGGCGAGAGCCTTTAATCCAAATAAACTTAATGTATGTTTTTATTTGCACGGTGGATGGAAAAAATATTCTTAGGCATCATCACATCATTTTATTGTTAAAATTCTAAAAATTTAATCTCAAAATGACATGACAGTGTCATGAAAAATTTTTCACTGACTATTCAAATAAAACCGTACATAGTCTAGCAGTTTCTCTTCCATTTCTTTCCTTCTACTTTCTTTGTTGATATATTTTCTTTCCTTACCTTTGAAGAAACAAATGCCTAATGAAAATTATTATTAATATATCAAAGAGATTAACAACGTGTTCTTTTCTTTTATCCTCCAGTGAAATATAATAAAAGGAGCAGAGCTTTCACCTTTTGAAGCTGCAGCAAAGAACCTGCACTTTGCCTTTGCATGAGGTAACCAACGATTCGTTGCCAAAGCATATATGAAACCCTTAGTCTCGAAGGATCAGTGAGAAAATCAAGAGAACAAAGTATAATTATATTCAAAGAAAACAGAAAAATCAGTCCTTTTTGGTTATTGCTTCTGCTCATATAAAACCAACATAGCAGAAACTCTCATATTAGATTGATCAAAAGATTTAAAACAAAGAAGAGAAACAAAAGGCTAATAACAGTACGACATATGGATTCGAAGCCAACGGTTGTTTATGAAGATTTTGAGTTACGAACTGAATGGGTTCATGAAGCTGTGGAGGACACTTTAATTGCATATCTACCAGGTTTGTTCTTGTCCAAATTTTTATGATTTCTTTAACTTATTGATAAGGCAAAGGATTTAGCCAATTTGCAACACAAAACTTGACGAGCAGTACTCTAATGATTCATTCAACAGGCTTTACGAAGGCGCAACTTAAGGTTCAAGTAACCACTGCGGGGAACTTGAGGATATATGGAGAACGTCCAATTGGCGGCAACAAATTCAGCCGTTTCTCCAAGGAAATTCCAATTCCATCGAATTGTGACCAAAATAAAATCAGAGCCAATTTCAAGGACGGTATGCTCCATATTAAACACTCCAAACTGATCATCCCGGCCGATGAGAAGCAGGAAGAAGCAAAACCATCTGTAGAAGTTCCGAAGTCTGATCAAAACCATGCTCCACAGCCTCCAAGGCCTGCCGATGTGCCACGGAAACTAGGTAATGGTCCAGAACAGGCTGTTCAAGAAACTCCTCTCAAGGCCACCGTGGAAAAACAAACAGGTGAGAAAACAGATGGGCTAGCAAAGGAGGCTGACAGTGTTTCAGAGAAGGAACCTGATAAAGAAAAGGAAATGAAAGACAAAAGCAATGCTGGTAATGGATCTGACAAGCCTATGGAGGAGGAGAGAAAAGGTTGGGATCAAGAGGAAAAGGCTTCAACTAGTGAAAAAGCTGAAAAGTTTGGCGATTCTGTGCAGGACACAGCAGAAAAAGAAAATGTAGAGACTGAGAAACTCGATGGCACTGATCACAAATACCAGCCAGCGATTAACGTGCTTTCGCTAAAATATAAGCAAGTTCTTGATGGTTTGGCCATGGGGCTAAAGAATCCAAGAAAAATGATGAACATGGTTTTGGCTGTTTTATTGGTTGTGGTACTTGCGGTTTATGTCAGAAATGCGATCAGGTCTCTTAGGAACTACTAGAACTAAGCTTGTGGGAAGTTCATGGTGAATGTAATTTCTAAGTTATACATAACTTGTATCTGAGAATCCATAAGAGTAATATATTAAGAGCTTGACATGTTTCAGATTTCTGGCTGATTTAGCTAAAAGAATCTACCTCTGATGTCTTAAAATGTATGACCTTCTAAGTTTTCGGTCGTATACCTTTATGGCCAAAAGCAGAAACCAAAAATATTTTAGGAGAAATGTTGAAAATATTCAGTTGAAGTAGGAAACTATTTTAGTTAATTTATTCAGTTATCCTTAAAATATAATATTTAGCATATTTAAAATTTAAAATTTAGCACCCGCAATTCTTTTCTCTTTGCCTAAACTAATAATCTTTTAAAATAAACATATATAATTATACTAACTAAAAATCTAATCTAGAGGATTTTTAATGAACTCGTAAATAAGTCTTTTTCACTTATTAAAAATAAAAAAAAATCCTGAATATTTTATTAAAAGCTCCCAAGCTTATTCATCTTAGCAATTTGTGGTATTTGTTTTAAATATTATCTATAATTTTTTATTAACATATAATCTTGAATGCATATTTTTGTGATGTATAATTTATTTTATTTTAATTTGGAAAGATAAAACAACTTATCTATTTATCTAATTATTTATTAGATAAACTTGTTCACCAATAACTAAAAAGTACTAGCAAAAAAATACTATAATCTAAAAGGCTTGATCAAGATAGGATCGAGAGCAAATTTTATAATCAAACTACGTTCATTACCCGATCACCATATGTTTATTAGGGTTCATATTAAACCAATTAGCATATAAATTACTATGTCATCTTTGTTAGATGTGAAGTAATAAACACAATAGCACGAAACCAGTATATCGTAATAAATCTACAATGAATAAATAACAATCAATAATCAATAATGCAAGTAAAATAAAATGCACCAAAAATTAAATGAAAAATCCTTCAGTGTAGAGAAAAAAATCACGAATTACTAGAAAAAACTTTATTATCAAATAACGGGTATATAAAATTCTCTTTTGGCTAAAATTAGAGAGAGAATTAGAGAAATATTACTAAATATGTAACTTAACAAATATACTATAGATCTTCTCTTAGAGAATTTTAACCCTGACCTCCATTGTTAAGAATGTAGAGCATTGAGTCATAAATATATTGATAAAATTTCAGCTTAATTGGACCATGGATCGAACTCAATACAATCACGTGATCAAACTAGAAGTTTTCGCTTTCTCATTCTTTTCTCTCACTCAACAACAACTTTTTTTCTCTCTGAAGGCTCACCGTTTTTCACGCCCTTTTAAAACAACGCTCACTTTTTGTTTTAAATGGGGCTTTCAGTTAAAAAAAACAAAGTTTCATGGCTTTTAATTAACCAAAAGTGAATGGGGCTAAACCCCACATCCTAACATTCTCTTTTTAAGCCCAATTAGGAAAAGATCTGTCATTAAAGCAGTCTCATTTGAAACTTACCTTGGTTAAAAAATTCATTCCATCTAAGTTACTATAGAACTCAAGCTTTTCCCTAAGAAATGTTTTAGTTAACATATAGGTTGTATTCTCATCAATATGGACCTTTTGCAACTGCATTTATTACTCTTCAATTATCAAATGCAGCCAGTGATATCTAATATCAAAGTGTTTCATTTTAGTATGGTACATGACATTTTTACTCAAATTTAAAGCACTCTGGCTATTATAAAATATCACATACTTTGTCTAATTTAACTCCAATTTAAGAAAAAAAATGTTTCCTCCAAAGCATCTTTTTGCTTGCTTCAATTGCTACAATATGCTCAACCTCTATATTTGACAAGACAACACACTTTTACAACTTAAACTGTTAAGACATAGCTACTCCTACAAAAGTAAATAAATATCCTGAAGTATATTTTCTACCATCAAGATCACCTACCATGTTAACATAAATAACCCCTTTTTAAAAATGATTGTATAGTTTCATAACTCAAGTACATTTTTTAGGTATCTCTCAAATATCTGAATATCCATTTTGCTACTTCCTAATGCACATGATCTAGATTAGAAAGAAATTTGTTTACTATGCCAACTGCATGAGTAATTTCAGACCGTGTGCAAATCATAAAATACATCAAAGAATCAATTATGGAGGAATAAACAATATTAGACATAGCTAATTGCTCTCTTTAGTTATCGAACAACATTTCTTACGAAGATAAAAATGGTTGGCAAATGGAATGCTAATTGATTTAGCATGCTAGATGTTGAATCTACTAAGCATCCCTTCAACTTATTTTTTCTATGATAATTATAACTTCCTAGCTTTTTTATCCTAGATAATATCCATACTAAAAATCTATTTTATTGGACCTAAATCATTCATATCAAAGAACTTAGATAATTGCTCTTTCAACCTACAAACGATACCAACATCATATCCCATAATTAGCATATCATCAACATATAACAAAAAAGTAATGAAGTTATCAACAGGAAATTTTTTGATATAGACACAAAAATTTGTTACCATTCTTTTATAATTGTGACTCATCATAAAAGAATCAAACTTTTTATTCCCCTGCTACAAAGTTTGTTCACAACCATAAAAGTATTTCTTTAGTTTGTAAACTAAGTGTTTTTTTCCTTTCACTTCAAAACTCGTAAGTTGATCCATTTAAATCTCCTTATACAAATTACTATGCAAAAATACAATCTTGACATCAACTTACTCAAACTTAAGATTCAAATAAGTTGATAATCCCAATATCACTTGAATGAAACTAATATTCACAACTGGAGAGCAAATCTCATCAAAATTGATGACAAATTTCTAAAAAAAATTTCATCACCAATCGAGCTTTATACCTCACTAGTTTATCACTATCCTTTTATTAGCTTGAATACACATTTATTCTTCAACAATCTTCTCATTTTCAAAAGATTAATAAGATCATATGTGTCATTTTTTGCAATGACTCCTTTTTTTCTTTCACTATTTTTAACTAATGCTCTAAAAAAAATTTCATCACCAATCGAGCTTTGTACCTCACTAGTTTATCACTTTCCTTTTATTAGCTTGAATACACATTTATTCTTCAACAATCTTCTTATTTTCAAAAGATTAATAAGATCATATGTGCTATTTTTTATAATGACTTTTTTTTTCTTTCACTATTTTTAACTAATGCTCTTTATTTGAAGTAATTTATGTTGGGGAACACCACAGCTCTGGTACCATTTGTTGGGCTAAAAGTCTCCAATCCAATCACACCAGCAGAAGTAAAATCAAATAATAAATCAAATACACAAGAGACAATAATTTAAAGTGGTTCGATCCAACTGACCTACATCCACGGATGAAAAACAAGATTCACTAGTTGTAGAGAATTACAAACTTACATCAAATCATCTACCTCACTCAACAATCAATACTCATAAGACACTCTCAATCTCCTCTAGTCCTATGGAGTATTCTCAACCTAAACAAACACAAACCCAAACCCTTGTGCACCCTTTCAACATAAACAAACACATACCCATATGCTCTCATACATCATACCTATATGGACCTTCTTAATCTCATCTAGTTCACTCACAAACAAACATACACACTTATAAGACGTAGAACTCCAATACTCCTATGGGGTGTCTATCCCACAAAACCCTACAACTCTCTTACATCTTTTTCTCATGCCTAACCCTGTAGAGACTTCACCTATTTATAACCATACAAACTTGCCCATTAAGAATCTCTCTCCTCTTAGAATTCTTCTTCTGTAAATCAAACTTACCTATTAAGAATCTCTTTCTTTTTAGAATTCTTCTCTTGCAAGTCAAACTTACCTATTAAGAATCTTCTTTCTCTTGAAATTCTTTTTTACAAGTCTTCTTATCCATCAAGCAATATCTGATAAATCTCAAACAAATCTCTAACAAATCTCAAACAAATCTCTTATGGAATTTGAGTCAATATTCTCAACAATCTTTACCTTGACACAAATTCTATCAATCATCTATCTTCATGCTAGACATGCTTGACTTCACCTGTAATGAAAGTCTTACAATCATCTTCTCTTCTTTTGTGTCTTCACGCTTCATACAAACCAATCCTCCAATCCTCAAAACATAAACTCAAACTTTTTTTTGAATCACGCTTTTTTAAGCTTGCCTCTTCCCATGTCTCAAACCATGTTCTTTTCACATCTCGAACCTTCAGTTTTTCCCACGTCTTGAATTTTTTACTCTTTTCACGTTTCGAATCTTCAGCTCTGATACTACTTGTTGGAAAATACCACAGCTCTGATACCATTTATTGGGCTAAAAACCTCTAATCCAATCACACCAACAGAAGCGAAATCAAACAATAAATCAAATACACAAGAGATAATAATTTAACGTGGTTCGATCCAACTGACCTACATCCATGAATGAGAAACAAGATCCACTAGTTGTAGAGAATTACAAACTTACATCAAATCATTTACCTCACTCAACAATCAATACTCATAAGACACTCTCAATCTCCTCTAGTCCTATAGAGTATTCTCAACCCAAATAAACACAAACTCAAACCCTTGTGCACTCTTTCAACATAATCAAATACATACCCATATGCTCCCATACATCATACCTATGTGGACCCTCTCAATCTCTTCTAGTCCACTCACAAATAAACATACACACCCATAAGACGTAGAGCCCCAATACTCCTATGAGGTGTCTATCCCACAAAACCTTACAATTCTCTTACATTTTTTTCTCATACCTAACCCTGTAGAGACTTCACCTATTTATAACCATATAAACTTTCCCATTAAGAATCCCTCTCCTCTTAGAATTCTTCTCCTGTAAGTCAAACTTACCTATTAAGAATCCATTTCCTTTTAGAATTCTTCTCTTGCAAGTCAAACTTACCTATTAAGAATCTTCTTTCTCTTGAAATTTTTTTTTTGTAAGTCTTCTTGTCCATCAAGCAATATCTGACAAATCTCAAACAAATCTCTAATAAATCTCAAACAAATCTCTTATGAAATTTGAGTTAATATTTCCAACAATTTACACATCTTGAAAGCTCTCTAACCCCTCTCATTAGTGATCAAAATAAAATATAAACTTAGATACCTAATGGATGGTCAGTGCTTTTTGGTAGATCTCTTAATCTGAGACTTTAAACTATTTGATGTCATAGGTAACTCACTTTACTCAACAATTTCTTGTGGATATGATTGCTCACATTGTTTAAAACTCTCTGGTGAAAAAGATTACATCTAGCCCATCATTAATTATGGTTGGCTCATTTATATCTTCAAGTTTTATCTTTTGTTCATTTTCACCATCTATGGTTTTTTTAGGTGGAACACCTATTAATGCTAAATCATTACAATCAACAGTAACTCGTATAATCTTCTCACTTTTTTCAAAGTTTGTTATGGTTGCTTTTTCATGAAAAATCACATCTTTGCTTCTGATTATCTTTTTCTTCACTGGATCTCATTGTCTGTAGCTAAATTTCTCAGTACTACATCCGACTAACACACAGTATGGCTTTATTTCAAGCTTTGACCTCAACTCTTTTGGCACATGCATGCATGTTTTACACCCAAAAACTATTAAGTGAAAGTATGAAGCATCATTTCCCATTCACTCTCTTTGTGGAATGTTAAAGCCCAAATGAACTAATGCTAATATATTAATCAAATAATAGGTTGTATTGATTGCTTCACTCAAGAATAGTTTTGGTAATTTTGTCATCCTTAGCATACATCTAACTTTTTTCATAATTGTGCAGTTTATCCTTTCAACTATAAGATTATGTTACGATGTTCTAGGTTTTACTATCCTATATTTGATCCTATATTTTAAGTAGTATTTTTCAAAGTTTTAAATGTGTATTCTACACCATTATCAGTTGGAATATATTTGAAAGGCAACCTTGTCATCCTTTTCACCATGACATGAAATTTTTTAAAATACTAGAGTATGTGACTTTTATTTTTCAAGATATACACCCAAGCCTTAAATGAAGCATCATTAATGAAAGTAATAAAGTATCTATTACCACCTAATGACTCAACCTCAATGGGACCATATATATATTAGAACGAATCAATTTCAATCTATTTTCTTTTCTCTGAGAACGTTTATGGAAGAAACTTTACAATGTTTACCATGTAAAGAATGATCTAATGAATTAAAAGACATACCTTTTGTCAAAGAAATAAAAAACTAACTCGCCAAAATTTATAACCCCTTTTTGTTATCATAGATCCTTTAAGAAGCTTTCATTATTCATTTTTTTGCTGACTTTCATATAATTTTTTATCAAGGACATTAATCGTAAGTAAATTCATTCTCATATCTAAAATGTGTTTGACATATTTCAAAGTCAACTTGGAACCTATACTAGTTTGTACAATAATATCATCAATTTCAACAATCTATGACACACTATTATTTCCATCTTATTGCAACCAAAATTTTTTACTTTGTAAGTTTTAAACAACTCTCTTTTAGGAACATAATGATATGTCACTCTTATGTCAACTATTTACTCAATGCCTGAATCACCAATATGATTACAATCACCAGATGTATAAATCAAAGTAATTGAATCATTATTTGATGTTACTGTAGCAATACTGTCATCATCTTAACTCTTGCCTTTTTTATCATTTCACTTTTATTTCAAGATTTTGCAATTTCGCTTTATGTGACTAGGTTTACCATAATGGTACTACTTCAATTTATCTATTAACTTGGATATATATTTAGACTTATTATAACCTTTCGTGTTCTGATCTCTATCAATATTTTTATCTTTGTTCTTTATGATAAGAACTTGATTTCCAAAGTCTGACTGTTTTAATCTTACTTCTTGATTAAGCATATTGTCATTTATCATCTTTAATGTCACCTTATAATTATGAGTTAAATTAAAAACAGTCATAATTAGAGTGTTTCAATTGTCTAGCAATGAACCTGAAAGAAATAACATTTTCATTTTATGATCCATTTTAAGCTCTATAGTAGTCATACAATTGAATATATCTTGAAAATCACTAAGTGCTCCGTAATTGTTTATCCATCCTTATACTATAAAGTTATAAGTTTTTTAACAAGTATAACTTTATTGATACTTTGTCTTCTTTTTATACAATACTGCTAATTTTGTTTCCAAAAGTTACGAGCGTTGGTCTCCTACGAGACATAATAAAATACACTGATATCAATCAATTTTCAAATCATAGCTAGCGTTTTTTTATGTAGTTTCTTTCAATTTTTATCTTGCACATTTGTTAGTTTAGCCAAATCATTCAACATTGGCTCATATAAATTTTTACAATATAAATGATCTTTCATCATTGGTTTCAAATTAAATAATTTGATGTTGATAATTTTATTATGAAACATGTATCACCTTTTATGATCTTAAACAAAATTTACTAGTAAATATAGTAACTTTGTTTCAGTTGCTATAATACTAACATCTCAAAAATAATCATAAATCTGATACTATTTGTTGAGCTTTAAGCGACAAATATTATAACGTGAAAATAATATATCATGATAAACCTCCAACGAATATATAACAATCAATAATCAATAATATAAGAAAAATAAAATATAATGAGAATTTCATGAAAAACTCTCTAATATAAAAGGAAAAAAATTACGAACCATCAAAATAATTTTCATTATCAAATAATAAATATATAAAATTTTCCTCTATTTAAAATTAAAACTAAACAATAATTAAAGAGAAGATAAATCTCATTAAATAGATTGCTCAATAAATATATTATGAATATATTATTAAAGAGTTTCAATATTAATTTCTACCATTCAAAATATAAAATATTAAACTATGAACATACTAATAAAATTTTAATTTAATCAAATCATATATCAAACTCCGTACAATTACTTTTACTCAAATCGATAAACTTCCTTTTTTTTTTTTCTTCTCTCTCGACGGTAAATTTTTACTCTTAAGAAACTCATCTTTTTCACTATTATTTAAAGCAATCCTCATTTATTTAAAACAGCCCTCATTTCTTTTGTTTTAAATAGGAGTCTGGTTAAAAAAAAGAAACAAAGATCCATGGCCCTTAGCTGGCCAAAAGTGAATGGGATTGTACCTGACATCATAACAATGTTGGTTTAAATTTATATCCTTTTGCTTTATTATAACTATCAAAGAAAAGAATTGGTTTAAAATTTATAATTGTTTTAATTTTCAAGAAGGTGTCAAACCCAAGTCTTAATTAATTATCCCCTTAACGACAACAATCTTATTTAGTATTTATTTTATGTACTTTTTGGTACTTTCCTTGGTTGAAAAGCACAGAGAATTTTCTCCTCATTCGTCTTCTTATCGTCCAGGAACTTTCTTTTGCTTTTCTTTCTTTTATTAGAGTATTAATTGTTTGAGATTTCAACTCTCCTACGTATGCATTTCGTGGTCAATAGGCAACCTATTTTTTATTTTAATATATTTTTATTAAAATAAATATATTTTTATTTTTTAATATCTATTTATTTAAGTCATTTGAGAAAAATATTATGTGCTCTATAATCTTAAAAAATCTTATCAATATATATGTCATTTCACCTAATATTAACAAAAATCTACTTTTTTTACTTTACGAAATTAATTTTACTAATCAAAATTAAGAACATTGCCATGCATTTTATTAAAGTTTTATCAACCCAAAAAAGAAATTTTACTAATTAAAAATATTTTTTTTACAAACAAATGAAAAAAAAAAAGGAAAGTCAACAAATAAATCTTGACCAAATTTAATTAAGTAAAAGAATAGTACATTCGTTGAAGCATATATCGAAAAGATAAGGTGACACTAGCAGCCTACACTATGAAAGCTTAAAAATGACGTCACATTAATTTTTTTTTACAAAATTAATGTCTTTTATTTATGTCTGAAATTCAAAAAAAGTCAGACAAAAAAACTAAACTTGCTTTCTCGGTCCGATGGTTCCCGGTTATTTCCTTCCACTTTTTCAACATCATGTTTTTAGTAGGCCCATCCCTACGCGTCTAGCATCAACAATGGTAAAATACATTGAACTTTGAAAAACTATTTATTTTAATTTATTTGAAGATAATAAATTAAAATAGTTTTAAGATATTTTATAAAATTATATGATAAGGTTTAAAGAGTTGGTTTGGAGAGCTTGATTCGAGTTTTTCTATTAACATTTTTTTTTCTGGTGGATCAAATTTAATGTAAATTTTTACTAAAATTTATTATATTTTTTGATTTTAAAATGAAATATTTTTTTACTTAATTTTTTTATAAAAAATTAATTAATTAATAAATTATAATTGAAGAATTAGTCACTCAAATTAATAATTTAGAAATTAATTTTTTTTAAAAAAATTGAGAGTTTGTATATATATATATATATATATATATATAAAGTCGAAGAGATTGTATCCATATATTTGGATATAATAATATCTAAATTTATAAAAAATTATGTTTGTACCGTGAAACTTATTGAAATTATTTTTTATTCCATAATTTTTTCCACAATATCAAGAAAACAATAAGATCTCAAAATTGAATGACTTAATGTTCAAATAATCAAGACTTTTTTGAGGCAATAATTTTAAATATCATATAAAAATTATATAAAAAACATTTAAATTTATAAAAAAATAAAAAAAAATTATATTTGACATATCAATATAAACTTAATATTATAATTTTTTATTATATATATTTAATATAAAACAAAAACATTATAAATACATAAATTATTAAATTTATAAAAAAAATTCAAGATATTTTTAACTGAAAATATCTACCTTAATAAATAGTATTATAGAATTTAAAACAAAACAGCAAAAAAAGCAACCAACCGCGTGCGGATGAGAGAAATATCAGATGCCTTAATTTGTGTTGGGCCCAAGTATGGGGCCTTTATATAGCCTTGCTATCCCCGTCCGAATTATAACATTCATTATTCATCATCGCACGCTCTCATTATTTTACTCCGCGTCTTTTTCTCTCCCAAAAGGCTTCTTTTCGAGTGAAAGAAAAAGCTTAAGAGAAGCGGCAGAAAATGGCCGATCAGCTTACCGACGACCAGATCTCTGAGTTCAAGGAGGCCTTTAGCCTCTTTGACAAGGACGGCGATGGTTCCTTCTCTCATCTCTTGTTTTTATTGTCTTCTTGATGTTTTTCGTTTTTAATTATATTTTAATAATTTTCTTGTTTCAAAAAAATTTTGGTTCTTCGTTCTGTTCAGCTACGATTCGCAGATCTAAGCACCTTTTTCGTTTTGGATGCTAAATTTTTGTTTTATTTTTTTATTTTTGCGATCGTTTTCTTTTGTGATTTGAAAGATGTGAGGGATCTAGGGTTCCGATTTATGAATTTATGATACTGCTTGATGACTTTTTTTATTTCATTTCGTTGATTTCTATTGTTGTGGCTCTTGATTTTTTTTGCTTTAAATGGTTCTCCTCTCTCTCTCTCTCTCTCTCTCTCTCTTCATTTTCATAATTGTTGACCTTTATAGGTCGTTTCATTGATTTAATTTATTTAACTTGTTAGAGTTAGATCTTTTTAGATGCAAACATCACCTGCCTAGATCGTCATTTTATTTGGTGATTTATTGCGTAATTTATGTTTGAGATTTGGTTTTTGATTTGATGTGTTATTTAATCGTGACTAAAAGTTTCGTTTACTTTTTGTAAATTTTTAATCTGATTAGCTAGATTGCATGGGTTTTGGATGTGATTCCTTAATGAAATATAGGATCAATATTAGTATTTTATTGGACATGCGTATTGGTGTAAAGTCATTGATTCATTGTATTGTCCTGAAAATCAGCCTTAATGTTTGTATTAGGTATGCTTGATAGTTATGAATCTGGAATCAAAATGCGTATGGATTTGCTAGTTCATGAAAATTCAATATTTGCTGTGGATGATTCAATTGATTAATTTCGTGACATGTAATCCTAAACAATGAAATATTATGTTTGGTACTACTTGAAGGTTATGGAATTAGTTGAGGATTGTAAAACATGTTTAATTTGTTTGTGCAATTACATGTTTGGTATTTATTAGCTGATCCATCAGCTATGAAATTTCTAATCATGGATGTCTATGCATTCGGAAACTTATCAGTGTCTAGATTGTTTTAGCTCGATAAATTAGACCAAATATATTGATGTCTATGCATCCATATCTTTATTTTTGGCATATTGGAAGAATGTTCACTATCCTCTTCTGCTCTTGTTTGGCTATGTATTTGTCTTTTTGAAGTATCTTGGTAGACATTTATGGCATTAGAAAAGTTTTAGTCATCAATTATCTTTTAACTTGAAATATTATTGTGCCTTTTTGTCTTCTTTAGGTACTACATTAATTGTTTGCCTGTTTTTCTTGCCAAATGCATTTAGTTGCGTTGATTGCTACATAACAGTTATTGTAGTCTTATTTTGTTGCATTTATTCGTATCCTGGCTGCAGGTTGCATTACTACCAAGGAGCTTGGGACTGTGATGCGATCACTTGGGCAGAACCCTACAGAGGCAGAACTCCAAGATATGATTAATGAAGTTGATGCTGATGGAAATGGGACCATTGATTTTCCTGAATTCCTTAACCTGATGGCAAGGAAGATGAAGGATACTGACTCAGAGGAGGAGCTTAAAGAGGCATTCAGGGTGTTTGACAAGGACCAGAATGGTTTCATATCCGCAGCTGAGCTTCGTCATGTGATGACAAATCTTGGTGAGAAGCTTACAGATGAGGAAGTTGATGAGATGATCCGTGAAGCCGATGTTGATGGTGACGGGCAAATCAACTATGAGGAGTTCGTCAAAGTCATGATGGCCAAATAATCACTTGTCCAATCAAAATCAAGATCCGAAACTTGGAAAAAAAAAAAGGGAACAGGGCAGATAAGTTCGCTAATGTTTCTATTTTTCAATAAGACATCTATGTTTTTATGTTACTATGTTTTTATGTTTCTTGTTTGCATTATTTTGTGGACTGGACCTTAGTATCCTACTTGTTTGCTCTGTTTTTTTGTTCAATAGTCTTTGTTGTTAGTGTCTATCTTTTAAGTTTGGTGCTCTAATTTCCATTCTTGGTGCCACGAACCTAGAACAATTTGGAAGAGTCCATGTTTTTTCTTCTTATGTGTGATTAATTTTTACCGTATTTCAAAATTTCAGTATATCTTTAATTTCTATGGATAAAAATTTTCCATACGGGCATCATCACTTTTGCTTATCAGCTCGCAACAATTTCTTGTTGCCAACAGTATTTGGTTTATAGTTGGTATTTATCTAATCTTAGTTTGGAATGATCCCCTCTACCCCTCTTTTTAAGGAAATTTGTCAAGGAATTTCTGTCAAGTCACCTCAATACTTTCAACAAGAGCGGTAAAGCTGTTGGTTTGGACGGTATTGCTTCGGCTTTTTTATGGTGTTTCAACCAAATATACGAGTGCTAATAAATGTTACCAAACAAAGTGCCAAGATTTAAGTTTATAATAATAAGAATTAATCCATTCTGACAAGTACGAAACCTTTCTTTCCCGGTAAACCTTTGTCAACGAACCGTAAGCAAATATCCTTTGAAAGAATTTGTGCGACAAGTTAAAATAGATGTCAAGCGCTGTATTATATCAAGTCATTGACTCATTTCCCATTTCCATTTTTAAAGCTTTACGACGAGAACAATAAACGATAGCGACTAATTTACTACTACTGGATATTAATTTTTTCAGAAACAAATTTTTTTTCATACTTGAGTAGAAGAAAAATATGAAATTGGTGATACTAATTGTAAAAGATTGAGACTGGGCAATCTTTTGTGCCCAGAATTAACGCGAAAATGATGCTCCTAGACAGAGAAATTAGTTTATTGTCTTCGAACTATTATTTTCCAGTCAGTCATATGGGGTGGGGAGTAGGGATTGTGATCTTGGCTACTTGAAACATTCTTACGTATAGAATGGCAACGGGTCATTATCGGGCGGGTATCATATTTCTTGTTCCGTACTCATTACATTACACATCCGTTTTCGTCGGTGTATCCGTTGGGTAATATTTTTCACATAATCCAAACCTGTTCCAAATACCGGTACTATGCGTTGCTGCAAGCTAAACGAACAGCAACAAGACATTCCAACGTAATCTTTGCCTTCTTAAGGAGCAAATCATCGTACATCTCTTGAGCATTGTTTAAAAAACACAACTAAGCAAAAGCTGGAGTGTCCAAATTCCATCCAGGATCAGCACTCTGTAGAAATTAATTCATAACTCACCATGTTACAAACATATAAATTAGAACTGAAACTAAAATTGACCTTATGATGGGTACCAGACAAAACCCATCAAACAGGAATCCAGAGCTGCTGACGTCGCCTGGTGCCGATGGTGTGCTTCTGGTGATGCGCAGCTTTTGGTCTGCCATGGAAGTCAACGTGAAAGAGGGAGGCTGGTTTTTTGAGAGTTGATCTACATTCTGCTAAATTCACTAAAAGTATCAAACTCAAGGGACTAGTTCCATATATATGAACAAGTTTAAGAATTTTACATTACTAAAAAATTAAACCATATGATATAGATCTAAATATACACTAGAATCGAAATCATCTTAACCGAAATCGATATACAATTATTCATTAATTTGACATTAATCAATTTAATCCAAACCTAAGTAACTTTGTTGGGCCATCAATTTAGAGATTAATTCAACACACTCAACCACAACATTGGAATCACATGACCGAAATCACCCACAGTGCTTAACAACTACATAGCAAAGAAAATAATTTCTTTACTTATCCCTTTTACGTTAATCACATAACACGAACTGTAAAACCATCTGCCAGCAAATCCCCTATCTGTACGTTCTGCTACCTCACAAAACAGGGGCTGAGCATCTTCCGATTTTGCAGACCTACTATGAGAGATTGGTATATGTGCAGAGGATCCATGAGCATCTTCCCATATGGGTACCTTGACAAGTGATATTCTCAAACCATGGTAGTTTTTCAGGGCTTAGTGGTGTCTTCTGTGACTTCCATACCCATACAACTCCTTGGGAATCTCTCACCTATGTTTTAAGGCAAGCTGACCGAGGAATTTTGGCATCAGCTGGAAGCTGTTGTGAATAAAGTTTATCAACGTGGTTAAATCAGAATAACGGAGAAGATTAATGCATCCGAAAAAGTGAACTTAGGCTAAAGTTAAATAGATGCAGACCTGAGGTATCTTGACACATTTTCCATTGCCTTCAAATCCCCAGGTGTCTATGGTTCGTAAAGACTTAATATAGCAGGATTTCCTAGCTAGTTTGGCTTTTCTAGAGATCAGCTCATTCACACAATTAAGGCAGCTAAAAATTGAATCAATGTTAGAGATCAAGTGGCAAGATTACCTTTGGGGACATCGACCTTGATAACGTTGAAATACTCCATTTCCATCTTTATACAACAGAGACTGGAGGCGGATCACTGTATATTATTAAGGTGTTAGACATTCAAAAAATTAAAAATAAAACACTTAAAAGAAAAAAAAATTTTGATATTTTTTCGTTAAATGTTAAACACTAAAAAAAAAAAAAAAAACCTTGAATACATAACTAAAAACGAGCAGATGATCAAACACATTCAGACCAAGAGAAGAATCAACTGGTACATCCTTGGTGAGGCAAAGTGGGTACCATTCCTCTGTCCAATTATAGTCTGCCACGATACCACGCCCCTGGCTAAGTTTTCACTTTACGTGAACTATAAATATGATGTGAAAAAACACACAATAATCTATCGTTGTTCCATAATACCCTTTCTTTATTCCACATATTTGAGGCTATTTGATTAAGGAGAAAGCAACCCAAGTTTGGCATTTTCCATATTGTTTCATGACGCTCGTGTTTGTTTTATAATGTTATTCCTTTCATTCGAGAGAATTAATTTTGGACAATCTGTCACTATCAAGAACTGGTTCTTCCAGTTTGAACTTTGGCTGGGAATTTCTTTGAAACTTTTACTGTTGGATTTAACTATTGAAATAATGATTACGGCAACTTTTTATATATACTCCAAAACGTTCAAATAGATATGGTTAACTGATTTTGAGACAATTCCAATATGATTGTTGTACTTTGTTGGTCGATAGTTGTCAAATAGGAGTATTTATTTTAAGCTCCTTTTTTATTTTTGACTCTTGGTAATCAAAATCCTATTCAATAAATCCAAGCTCCAGAATAATCAAACCAAATTAAAATGAATACTTTCAGCTCTGGACCCAATTTTTTTTTTTTTTTTTTGTAATTGTGGGTGCATTTGGATAACATTTTACCATGTATCTTTTTGGTTTCAACTGCATTGTTGGGTGCATTTGAGTAGCATCCTACGGTCTAATTGAAGGCTTTCAATCTTACTGTCTCTCCAATTGGAGATCGAAAGTCGAAGCATCCTGTAGTTTATTGTCCTTTCAGATAATCAACTTTTTTGTCTAAAGCATTCGACTATCTTAATGTAAATTTGAAACAGAAGATATTTTTGATTATGACAATCGGTTGCTTCTGTCGAGTATTGGATTGTTTAATTTTCAAACATGGTAATGTATTACCTTTGGTTAGACAATTAACTGTTATAATCAATTTCACTGTCAATGCAAAATTTACATTTAAAGATATATCTTTATCATTAATTTTAATTTCTTCTAAGTCAATCATCTTCCTTTTAGGAGGTCAAACTCCCCCAAGCTCTTTACCGGCCAGACAGTTATTTTTGGCTTTCATTAGCACAATGAACTATATGAGTTACATAAACAGATAACTTAGGGAAAATGATGAATGCTATACAATTGTCCCCAGAGCAAGAAATAACATATACCATATTGGGTTGAACAAGATGTGATCTCTCGATGCTCTAGAGGAAAAAAAAAGAGACAACAAGGAAAACAGCCGGATTAGAGGACCAAGATGATTACTATGCTAGCTAGGTAAGTAAAGCACTACTGGTATACATATAATCTTCATCGGCTTAAAACTCACAATGACAGTGAAAGAAACCAAAACAATCCAACATTAATAAGGTAGACTTAAAAACAGCTGTCTTGGTCCAAAGTTTTAGTAAAAAATTACATAAAATGAGAAGAGAGGTACAACCGTCCTATTTTCTATGAATATCCCAACCACCAGCCTTAATCTTGACGCCCTCTAAAGTATACATAGAGCTATAAATTTTCTTGACATTTCACCAATAATAATTGTAAAGTAGTTGAAAAAAGAGATGAAACTTGTAGCATATACATGGATGCTACTCTGTACGTGCCTTTTGGGGCTTCTCACTTGTGGAGAAGCCAACCAGGCTGAAACGTTTGGTAGCTTTCTCAGGTCCAGATTGTCACGAAAACCATCTCCAGCACATTCAATGGAATGGTTTCATAAAAAAACAGGGTATTCCTCCAATTACATCCAGCCTCAAGATGGCTCCATGGAGAGTGATAAAATTGGTGCATTGCCTGGAGAACCTAATGCTGTGGGTTTTAACCATTACGCAGGATATGTGACTGTTGATTCTCAGGCTGGCAGAGCACTTTTCTACTATTTTGCTGAGTCCCCAGAGAACTCTTCAACAAATCCTTTGGTTTTATGGCTCAATGGAGGTATGTATCAACCAACATGATGCATAGTTTTGGGCCTTTTGACCCATAAGCATTTTTCTAATCATTTCTATTAACTCAAGTAATGTTATTCTCATCTTGGCGCCTGTGGTTTCTGGCAATTTCAGGACCAGGATGCTCTTCATTAACTGGAGCAATGACGGAATTAGGACCTTTCAGAGTAAATAGTGATGGCAAAACACTTTTCCTGAACAATTATGCATGGAACAATGGTAAGCAAACTTGACTTGTCAGTAAACCCGGAGCTTAACTCGAGCATGTGTGGATTCAAATATCAAGATTTGCAGTCTCTTCTTTTATTCCGTACCGCTACCTCATTTATTAAAAAAAAAAAAAAAACCCTTGACTTGTCACTTCTAGCTAATCTGTTCTTCGTCTACTTTTATGAAATTAACCTTGTATTCTTACTATTTTGATTGAGCTTGGCAGTGGCGAATGTGATCTTCTTGGAATCCCCAGCTGGAGTAGGCTTTTCCTATTCGAATACAACCTCCGATTACAAGAATACAGGTGACAAAAGTACTGCCGCAGATGCCTACACATTCCTCGTAAACTGGCTCGAGAGGTTCCCGCAATATAAAACCCGGGATTTTTACATAACCGGAGAGAGTTACGCTGGTCACTATGTGCCTCAGCTTGCTTACACCATTCTTCTCAACAACAAAAGCTCAAACCAAACAGTGATTAATCTTAAAGGCATTGCGGTATGTTCAATATCTGATAATGTATCTCTGTCTATACCTTTGTTTCCTTCTGGAAATTGAAAATAGACCTGACAATTGTGTAACCATATATGTGGTGTCTAATAGGGCATAAATGATACATTAGTACTTGTAAGCTACTCGAATTTGATTCGAATAGAACTCGAATTCAGTTCGATTATTATCGAGTCGAGCTTAAGTAGCTCAACTCATCGATCGAGTCAAATTCGAATATTCTTATACTCAGTTCGAGTAGCACGCGAGCGTAATCGAGCTTTTATATTTAAATTTTTTTTATTATTTTAATTAATAAAATATCTTGAATTCGAGCTCGAACTCGAGCACAAATAATCGAGCTCTTATAGAGTATAAAAATCGAGTTTATTTTTATATATTTTCGAGCTTAATCGAGTGAGTTCGAGTAATTTGAATTCAATCACGAATCAAAATCGAGTTAGAAAAATGAAACTCGATCGAATTCGAGCCGAATATCGAGCCGCGAGTTGAGAGTCGAGCTCGAACTCGAACTTCTCACTGTATCAACTCGATTCGACTCGATTACACCCCTAATATCTAACACATATAAAATATGAAAATTTTGGCGTCATGATTCTTGTAATAATTTTCTTCTAACTTTGGTGAGTGATGGTAAAACATTCAGGTTGGCAATGGTTTGATTGATAATCGTACTTGGTATTTGGGGCAATTCGGCTACTTCTGGACGCATGCTTTAAACTCAGATGAAACAAACAAAGGAATTCACACCTATTGCCACTATTTTAATGGAACGGATCCAAAGCAATGTGTAGACTTCATGAACAAGGGGTATAATGAGCCTGGTGATATAGATGGTTACAACATTTATGCCCCACTTTGTCAAGGATATTCTTCTTCATCAAAAAAAGGTTCGGTACGTAGTATTGCATACATCAATTAAGGCCTTACTGTTAGATAAACAGATTGATCCAAGAAAATATGAATTATTGTATTTTGAAATTCATTGGTCTCATCATCCCTCCTTCAAGGTCAGTCTCAGACATAAAAGTATTTGGAGAAGGTAGAAATCTCTTTCACTACTTAGTCTTAAATATTATGTAAGGAATTCTTGTACCTGACAAGACGTTCACCTCTGATCAGATCACACACAATAACAACCAAAAATTGTAATCATTATAACATAAATCAAATTAAACAATTAAAAATATCATTTATTTTTCGTTATTTCTTCATTAGATTGTTCGAATGATTCATTAATAATTTATAATTTTGAACTCAAATTTAAACCAATTAATTTATGAAATTATTTTTAAAAAATGAAATTCAATATATTTGAAATTTAATTTTCAATATCAACAACTTTTTTTTTAATATTTAAACTGCAATATTTTTTATAAAAAAAAATTACTAATTCTCTGTGACGTTGTCTTCCTAGTTAACTTTTTTATGTATGATATGTATCTTTTTCTAGCTTTCAAGCACTTCATAGTCAAATATTTTTCAAGACGTTTCAACACAAATTTATTGCAAAATAATATTCAAGTTGAAACTCTATATTAAGTTTAGACTAACTAGTACGAGAATTACTTTTATAGTCATATTGATTCTCGTTTCAGGTAAACAGTTTCGATCCGTGCTCAGGCGACTATATGATATCTTATCTGAATATAGCAGAGGTGCAAAGTGCTCTCCATGCTAGGGTTTCAAAATGGTATCAATGCAGGTTATAGCCATGATCTTGCTCGTGTCCTGGCTGCTAATTGAAGTTTGTTAATTTTTTTGGTTAGTGTTTATTTTATTTTAATGTAACTGAAATCTTATTTTACTATACCACTGAGCAGCGACTTTAACTGGACTGATAGCCCAGTTACTGTCTTACCTATAATCCAGAATCTGATGGCAAGTGGTCTTAGAGTTTGGCTATACAGGTAAAACTCAATTTCAACCCAATTACCCTTTTATGGAACTAATTAAACGGCAAAAACATTAACTTTGTCATGAAAAGTCCAACATTGATTCCTGACTGCTACATAATCAAACATAGCTAAACATGAACTTACCAATATAAAAATTAGTGGGCAAATTAAGATAATAAAAAAGAGCAATGGTTTTTTTTTCAAGTACAAAGGAGGTAGTGAATTGAAATAAGTGTTGAAATTTAGTTCTTTTAACATACTGAATGTAGCTACCTTTTAAGAGTATTTACATAAATTAACTGAATTAAATCCTTCTTCGAAGAGCAATGTTATAGATGTATTATATTAACAATTAAACAAGTTGTAATTTTTGAGAATAAGTGTTATATACAACCAATTTGTTATACAAAGAGGCATGGGAATAAGTGAAAGAATGATAAATTCTAAGATTTGAATTTCGTTCTTGTTGAATACCATTTCTTAAAAATGGTAACATAAACCAATTGAGTTAAACTCAAATTCAACAGCTATTCGATCAATTTGAAATGCAATATTTGCAGCTAAGATGGAAAATTTTTGCAGCGGTGATGTAGATTCAGTCGTCCCAATTACCTCAACCAGGTATGGAATAAACCTCCTCAAGCTCCCTGTAAAGACTGCTTGGCGTCCGTGGTCCAACAATAAGGAGGTAAAACAAAAGGGAAATATTAACAGTTTGTGCTTTCATTGGACAGCTTTTTTCACTGCTTTGGTGACTTAAAAATTGTTGGATGAAAACAGGTTGGAGGATATTTGGTGGAATATGAAGGTCTGACATTGGTGACAGTGAGAGGAGCAGGACATTTTGTTCCCAGAGACCAACCCGCTCGTGCTCTTACCATGATTTCCTCATTCCTTCAAGGAGTTCTGCCTCCACCATGACCATTCTCCCAAGAGCTAAAGCTGACTAGATGAATGTGATTTTCTAAACTTTTTCAACTAATAATTAAGGTATCTTAGACATAATAATGTTGTGAGTTGGAACACAAATTGTACATCAATGGATGAAAATCTATGATTTGAAAATCCAATAATGCACTGTGAATGAATGAATTTGAGTGAAGAGCTGAAGATGCAATTATTTTACCGTAGAATTAGGGGCATATGCTTTATCTCGGAATAAAATCAGATGATGAAATGAACTTATTGGATTCAATTTGATCAAATACCAAATTGATAGTTTGAAGTTTGTTGCAGTAAATAGATGTATAAAGCTCTTATTTGAGTCAAATGCAAGACATTATTATCAAAAACAAAGTGAAATATCAGGAGCTTGCAAAGTCAAAAGGACGTTGGCTTTCGAGATTACTCAGCCTCGGAGGGTTGCCATGATTGGTACCTTGTCCAGTCTCTCTGACCAGGATTAAGTGCATGTCCTTTAGAATGGTAGATAAACTCATTACCCTTACCAGATAAGTTTTCCTTGTGCTCAACCCCATACCTCTGAGGTTTTAGCATCAAAAGCTGCCAAAGGAAAAAAAAAAATTTAAGCACACAATCCCCATTATGTAATATAACATGGTCAAAACAGGACTTGCCTCATCTCCTGTGTGATCAGTTATGCAGTGAAGCCAACCATGCCATTCTGGTGGTACCTGAGAAGCATCGTAGCGATCCTTCTTGGCATATTCAACCCACCTGTGTCTTCCTACAAATGCCATAAATAATATGCATCAGAAATAAACATAAATAAAGACAAATGACTTCTTGTTAAGTACATTCATAGAAGTTTATTGCTTGCATCTAGTTGATTGTTATAAGCAAATCCATCCATGAATGCATGCAAGACAAGGAAACATGAAAACCGATAATCTCAAGAATACAGCTGAAGGGACTCTCTTGTTGATTGATTGAAGGAATTCTAGTATTTAAAGCTCAACTGTGCAAAAATAATCATCCTATGCTCCTTCTAGCAATTATTTCCAGAACACACTTCTTTTCCATCACTCACTTGGAACTGGTAGTACATTTTCAACACATGCATTATATAAAAAGAGAAAGGAAAGCTAACCAGATTGTGTGTCCCCAAGTTTCTCATAGTACTTATTGCCGAATTTATCAACGCCCACAAGTGTTGCCCCTATGTTGTGGATTTTGGTTTGCCTGGATCAATCAACAAATTGCCATCAAAGATGCAATAGATAATAACGGTGAATATATGCAAATAACTTTAGAGCTTAAGGATTATTTTGATATAAGAAAACGATATATAAGCTCCTGAGGTTTGAAACACTGGTAAGAATAAAATAAAAAAAATCAAACTAGAAAAAATAGTAAAAATAGGAATATTAAATAAGGAGCAGCTAATCTATAGGAAAAGATGCCTGTCTAGACCATATAAGTGCATGAAAGCCCCTATAAAATGAATTAGTCAAAAAAAAAAAAAAAAGAACATACAACATGGAACCTAAGTAGGGTTTTAAATGAAGAAAAAGCAAAATGTCCGTACAAAGAAATATTTTAAGAAGGTTTCTAAATGAAGAATGATGTAGCTTCAGAGGAAGAAAGCTACAAGCCCAATAAAATTGCATAAGCCATTCATTCCCTGCTTGGTCACAACTCAGAAGCAATGCTTCTTGACTGCATTGCAGCAAACAAATATGTTTTATGAGACCAGCAAATAAAAGAGGTTAATTAGAACTCTATGAGCTTCCTCACGAAAATGCCAAGCATATTTCAAGAATTCATTCTCAAGAAGATGACACTAGACAGCAAAAACTGAGACCAAGGTTGATATGAACAATGATGAACAAGCCATTGTTTCCAATTTAAGGGCAATGAAACTGCAATAGAAGTATGATGCTAGTTTTCAGATTAACATGCCAATACAGATATTAAGTCTAAAATAAAAGTGTGTATGCAAAAGCAACCTAAGATATCACTTTCAATGAAAGACCACCGTAGGAAGATGTATCTAAGTACAGAATATTGCACTCATTGATCATGTCTTTGGGGTGTGGGAATCAGAATTGATCTAATATATCAAGGCTTTATGGAATGGATGGAAATATCATGTCCTTCTGTCTCATCATATAAAGTACAGAAGGCTTAATAGCTGACACTCATAGTGCTGCAAATATTTTTTTTATCATTCTCACAAGGTTCCGAAATGCCAAGGGACAATGTCAGGTTAAGAGTCAGGACCAGATTGTATTTAATCATAACTGATGAAACAGTTAATCAGCACAATCATGGCAAGTTTTCTTCAATGACAACGCAAAATTTCACTAAAAACTGCCCATATCACTCATCGCCAACCTTGAAGTCAGTCACCATTCAAAACTTCTTCACAACCAAGGAAACTACCAATGGAAAATTTCATTTCTTCCCATCATATGTGAAGCAAGTAAAATTGATTAGACCCAAGGGAGCCGGGATTAAAATCCTAATGTTTCTAAACAATTAAGGATTAAAAGAAACTTATTACGCATGGTTCATCAGTGAATTTTGTTTCTACAAACAAAATCTTCCCCCACTATTTTCCCTGCTGCCACCGAATGTCTTTTAAGTTGTGCATTTAGAATGTTCATATCAGAATCATTTCATTGAAACTGGATAATATTCCTAGTTCCATGCTTGTCTCCCAAATCAAGTTGATTTCCAGTCATTTTCTAGTCCTTCTTGGTTAACTTAAACTTTAAGGGTGTGCTTGATAGAGTAGAAAAGTAGAAGGATAGATAGGGGAGGGTAGAAAAGTTGAAAGAACATGAATCATGAGTGTGCTTGGCAGGGAAGAAAAGAGAAAGAAAAGGAAATAGGAAACATGATCATTTTCCACCTTTTTCACAAAAACAAATCATTTCAAACTGAAAAGATAGCAGAATAGAAAATGAAGAGATGAGAGTCAAGTGTTGCATTGCATATTTGCAACATTTTCCATCATTTTTTAAGATTTTTTTTATCTTAACTTACAAAAAACATAACAGTAAAATAACATCATTTTACAAGCAATAAACGAAAAGACAAATTTTTTTCTCTCTGACTTTCCATCTTTCCTGCCAATCATATAATGCAAAGAAATATATATATATATATATATATATTTTCCATCTTTAAAGTTTTCTCCCTCTCCAATTTTCTGTCTTTCCATTCTTCCATCCACCCTACCAAAGCCTTAGCATTGTTGAACTTTCAAATTTTCCGTTTATTCTAGTGAAAAAATAAATAAAAAGAATCGGATTTCTAAATCCAATTGTTATTCTGGCTGCATACTACTTATCCTAATTACAAATTTATTAAAATTTCAATTTCAATTACCTCTTAATTCTATTTTTTATATAAAACCAAAAAAATCCATTTGTCAAGTATAAAAGAGCTGTGAGATTATTAAAGAAAAAGAATTTGACTTACAGAAGCTTTCCATCGAAGATGCATTTCCTGAAGAAGAAGAAAGGAATAATCAGCAAATATAATGAATTATTAATAGAAGAATAATGTTAAAAAAAAAAAGGGTTTTTCATTTCTCTATCGAAGAATTATTGAAGTTTGAAGAAATCCAAATCATAAAAGGGAAGAGAGTGGATTACGAACGTAAAGCCGTCTTCCTTAAGCTCACTTAAAAAAGTGGGGAGACCTCTTTTTCGGATCGCCCCCAATGCGCTCTTCACCACCGTCGTTGCCATCTCCACCTCTCTCACTCTCCGCTTGCCGCCTTTCGCTTGCACTTTTCACTTTCCCGTATTTGGTAGCTAAAAAAGAAAAAAAACTTCCCGTCTCGATTTTTTCTTTTAAAAGGTCATTTGGTTTTTGCTTGGAACAAAAAAAATATTGAAAATATGTTTTGCAAGATTCCAAACATAAACGGATATATTTATTTATTTATTTTATCAAAAATTGAATTAAATATATATTAATTTTTGACATGTGTGCGGGGTTACTATAATTTTTATTTTTAAAAGTTTATTTCAATAAATAATTTTTTATATTATAATAATGATAAATACTAATAATTTAATTTTGATTTAGTGTAATATAAGTAAGTTTTGATAATTTTTTATAAAATTTTAATTTTGGTAATATTTGATAAAATTTTGGTAATTTTTTATATATTTTAGTAACTTATGATATAATTTTGATAACTATTTATACAATTTTAGTAATTTTTGATAAAATTTTAACAATCTTTTTATGTAATTTAATAAAAGTTAAATATATATCTGACCTTGAACTTCAAAATTTTGTCTCATTAGTATTTAAAAAAAAAAATTATCACGTTTGTATCTAAACTTTCAAATCATTATTACATAACTTTAAACTAATATTATTAATCAATTTTATTAATATAATATGAACATCTAATAAATTATTGATACATATAAAAAAATTCAGTCAATGACCATCACCAATGTCACATTATTTTTATAAAAGAATTTTAAAAGAAATTCAAAAACATTCTATAGTAAGTACACAATTTATCAGCCTTTTGATAAAATTCACTTTTCACTTTCCCATATTTCGTATCTAAAGAAAAGGTTTTGTCTATAATAAGTACACAATTTATCGTCTTTATTTTAAAATTATGAGATATCATAATATTTCATAAAAAATTAAAAAATAATAAAAATGGTAAAACAGGTTAACAACGTAATTAGAAATATAAAATTATTTTATTTATCAGACAAAAAAATTACAAATTACATGTTTTATTCTTGTTTTCATCTATTCTTATAAATATAATATTAAAATAAAAATTCAATTATAGTTATGTCATATATTATTTTAATAAATAATATTTTATTATTTCTTCATTATTAACAAATAATAATATTACAACAATAATTAATACAAATTTTAGCATTCATCTTAATAATTTTTTATTTTTTTAGTTTTAAAATATTAGTTATTTTATATTGCCTTCTTAATCTTAAAATTATTTTTTAGTTATACGTGTCATATATTTTACGATTTTATTTGTATGATTTTTTTTCATAGATATTTTGATTGTAAATTTTGGTGTCTTTTTATAGAAAAAAATTCAACATATTTAAAATTTCTTCAATCAAAATGTAATATTTTTTACAACTACACAAATATTTTTACTATGCATTTACGTTAATCAATTTTTAAGACTAAAGTTGATACAATGATAGCTTTCAAATATGAGAGAAATTTTACTATTCCTTTCACTTATTTACATTAATAATTTTTTATTATTTATTACTTTTTTATATATTTACAAAAATAATAGTTAACTAAAATTTTACATTACTAACTTAATTATTTATATTACAATAATATTTTTTCACAATTGTTCTTCCCTTCCGTTACTTTTAAAATTGTCACAATTTTTTCTTATTATGTTAAGATAATTTTTTCACATTTTAGGCCAACGATACAAATTTTACATTTTCTCTCACATATTTAAGTTACAAAATTTTGTTATTATTATTTGTTGGATTTTTTTATATATTTATATAAACAATAATTATTTATGTTACAATAATATATTCTTACAATTGTTCTTATCTTCTATTATGTTTAGAATTATCATAAATTTTTTTTAGTATATTATAGTACTTTTTAACTATTTTATGCCAAATAATACTAATTTTTCATTTTTTTATTTGTTTACATTACCAATTTATTTGTTAATTTTACCTATTTTCTTATATATATATATATATATATACAAAAACAATAATGAATTAAAATTTACATTACCATCCTAATTATTTATATAATAATAATATTTTTTATGATTGTTCTTACTTTACATCAGGTTTAGAATTATCGTAACTCTTTCTTAATGTTTTACAACACTTCGTACTCATTTTATACTAAATGATATTAATTTTACGTTTCTCACTTGTTTACATTATCAATTTATTTTTTAATTTTTAGTTATTTTTCTTATATATTTATAGGAATAATAATTAATTAAAATTTTGCATTATCAACATAATTATTTACTTTACAATAATTTTTATGGTTATTTTTATTTTTCATTACATTTATAATTATCATAACTCTTTCTTAATATGTTACGACACTTCTTACTTATTTTGCTTTAAATGATACTAATTTTACATTTGTTTTAACTTGTTTACTTTATTAATTTATTTTTTAATTTCTATCTATTTTCTTTAAATATTTACAAATTAATAATTAATTAAAATTTTACATTACTAATATAATTATTTACGTTACAATAATATATTGTTATAACTATTTTACTTTTCAATATGTTTAAAATTGTTATAACACTTTTTAGTGTATTAAAACAATTCATACCCATTTTATGGTAAATAATACTAATTTTACATTTATTTTCACTTGTTTACGTTATTAATATGTTTTTTTAATTTTTAGCTATTTTTTTATGTTTTAAAAATAATTAATTAAAATTTTACATTGGCAACTTAATTATTTTCATTACAATAATTTGTTTTTATGATTGTTTTTACCTTTAATTATGTTTAGAATTATAATAGCTTTTTTTAGTATGTTATAACACTTTTGTTTTGTTTTACACAAAATTATACTCATTTTACGTTTCCTATTTATTTTTTAATTTTTAACTTTTTTTATGTATTTAAAAAATAATAATTTGTTAAAATTTTACGTTGTCAATGTAATTTATTTACATTATAATAATATATTTTTATGGTTGTTCTTACCTTTTATTATATTTAGAATTATCATAATTTTTTCTTAGTGTGTGATTTATCAATTTTATGCTAAATGATACTAATTTTACATTTCTTCATACTTGTTTATATTACTGATTTATTTTTTAATTTACAAGTATTTTCTTTATATATATATACAAAAATAATAATTAATTAAAAATTTTATATTATCATTATAATTATTTACGTTACAATAATATATTTTTACATTTGTTCTTACTTTGCGATATGTATAGAATTGTGATAATATTTTTGCAATGTATTATGACATTTCTTATCCATTTTACACCAAATAATACAAATATTATATTTCCTCTCACCTATTCATGTTATTTATATTTTTTATTATTAGATATTTTCTTTATATATTTGTAGAAATAATAATTAATTAAAATTTTACGTTATTATCTTAATTATTTATATTTTAATAATTTTTTTATGATTGTTCTTACATTTCATTAAATTTAAAATTATCATAATTTTTCTTAGATATTATGACACTTTTAACATATTTTACGTTAAATAATACAATTTTTAAGATTTCTCTTGCATGATTATGTTAATAAAATTTTTTAATTTTTTGAAAAAATCATTTCTTTTATGTTAATTTTTATCTTTGAATGTATTTTTACTAATTTTGTTATATATTTATAAAAAATAATTAATTTAAATTTACGTTGTTATATTAATTATTTATGGTAAAATAATTCTTCTAACACTTCTTCTTACATTCAATTATGTTTAAAATTTTTATAACTCGTTTTTTAGTGTATTAAGATACTTCTATCCCATTTTATATAAATTGATATAAATTTTATTATTTCTCTTATTTGATTATGTTAATAATATTTTTATCGTTTTAAAATATAAATTCTTTTAAGTTAAATTTTTTTGGAAGAATTGTTATGTTAATATTTTTTAATTTATTTAGAATTTTTTTTATAATTGTTTTAATTATTTTCGAAGATACTGATTATATTAAAAAATTTTAAATTTTTTTTAATTATTATTTTTTATTTTTAAGAATTTTCATAAACGTGTAATAAAATGAAAAATAAAAAATCATTACATAAAGTGAAAAATATTTAAATTATATATAGAATTTTATAAATTTTATTTTGTAATCTTATTGCTTGATCAACAAATTTTACCTTTTTTACTTTAAAATTTAATCAATAATTGATATTTAATTGTATAAATCAAACGATTATTATTTACCGACCTTCTTGTAAAGTTTAAAAACTTAAAATTGTTATAGAAGTCCCCAAAATCTTGGTATATTTTTTGCTTTAGTTCGGAATAAAAAAAATTAAAAATATGTTTTACGAGATTTCAAATATAAACATATATATATATATATATAATATCAAAAACTTGAATTAAATATATATATATATATATATATCATGAATTCAGAATTTTATTGTCGGAATATGTTGCAACATAATAAAAAAAATTTCTTAAATCTTAGCTGAGCTAATTCTTTATTGTTTTTATTTATGTTCATTTAACGTTGTCATTTTATTTTTTTATTTATAACATATAAAAGTATGAATGTGATTTTTTTTTTAATTCACTTTTATCTATAAAAACAAGAATATAAGAACTCTTTTAAATTAAGGAAAATGAATATTATCGTTTATTATATTTTAGATTTATCATTTGATATTTGATATTTTTTATAACTATTAAGATTTATCAAATTGATTATTTAGATATAAATTAACCCCTAAAAAAAAAACAATCAAGCTATTAGATTATTGGACATTCAACTTTATTATATATAAACAATTCTTAGAAAAATAATCTAGCTACAATATTCGTCCTCATATGAACCATAAAGAAATTTCTCAATCTCAACGGCGAATTATCAGTAGCATCAGAGATGAAAGAAGAAGGCACATTTAGAACATGTCATCTTATGATAATAGGCAGAAGCAAAATGACAATTTTTTGAAAAAAAAAAAAAAAAGGAAACAAATGAACATCATGCAGGATAAGCTCCTTTCTATGTATATATTGTACACCTCAAAAAAGCAATGACAGCTTATATATTTTGATCGCATACAAGAGAACTACAAAATTTAGTAATGAAAAGGCGGAAACCTTCATCAACTCTTGGATTTCTAACT